GGTTTTATTTTTTTTTTTACTCTTGTGTCAATGTCATATGCCATAGATTTAGAATTTAGGATTTGTGAATATATATTTTGCATATGTCACTTTTTTTGTAATCATCAAAGAGATAATGAATGGGATGTATGAGATTGTTAATCAAATGTGATACTTTTATATAATGGGTTAATGTTAATTATTTTGGGGCGTTGCACTTTCCATTTCTGTTTTTTCTTTCTTACTTTTTATACATATCCCACTTTTTATTTATAAATAATATCATGACATCCTCTACGTGTTCTTTGCTCTAAATGGTCGACAAGACAGCTCAATATTTTTGGTATCTTTGGCTAAATTTTGAGAAGGGGTCTTTGTTAGGTTTTTATAATTGATAATCCCGTTTGACAAAAAAAATTTCAGTTGTAATTTTTTTCGCTCTTATGTTTCAGTGAAGATCTGAGTGTTTAGATGCGAATCCAATCCGAATTGTACTTTTGTTTGTCACTTCACTGACTATGTACGGGATCAACACCCCTGAAGCAAAAGGCAAAAATGCAATCAAAATTGTTTTACTGCGCGAGCGGTCATTTGTGCACTCGAGCGAAGAAAATGATCATTCATTATTTTTGCAGAGTGTCTAAACTTCTGATAAGCAAGTTTTACCGCTCGAGCGCATGCATAAGGAACCTATTTCTATTTATGAAACTCAAGCCCTACTTCTTACCACAACAAGTGTACGGTACGTGATAGCTCATAAAGACCTGGTGATGAAGTATATGCTGACAAAAGGAAATAAAGCAAAGCTAGCGAAGGTAGGGCGGTATATCAGTTGCACTTCTCAATCGTCGCCTGGTAGCTTTGACTCCGCGATCGAAAATAGAAAGTGGCCAGATGTGATTTTAAGTTGATGAGAACTTTAATAATCGAAATGGTACTAGTGATGAATTCAGTTAATTACTGGCTCTTTTGAAGGGGCTGGAAAATGAGGTGTAGGTTTACTCACACCGCTCAAGTTGTGAAGTATGCGCTCAAGCAGTGAAGTGTGCGCTCGAGCGGTCTTTACAATTCAGTTTATTATAAAGTGCGCTATTTGCTCGTTTTAAGATTTGAGTCGTCCAGATTTTCAAAGAATAAGAAAAAAACAAAGTGTTTTATATTGGAGGGTGCTTTATGAGTGTTTTCTTAATGATTTAAGAGTGATCAATGGATTTATAAACTTTATATCAACATCATCAAGGGGTTTATTTGTTTTCTTTTATTCACAAAATAGAGAGTTGTTCTTCAGTAGATTTAGGGGAACTTGTACCTGAAGCTTTGATGGATTCCGGAGTGGCTTATCGTCATGAATTCAACATCAGCGTTGTAAATTTAACGTTAGGTAAGACAATTCCAAGGTGAAGACGAAGGTGGAAGAGGCACATCGGGGTCAGTTTAATTCGGGTGTAGATTCGTTAGGTAATTGAGGATACACATGCATAATTCCTTTTTCTCTTCTTAGTGGATTGTTTTGTAGTTTTGGCCCGTAATTTTTTTGTCATAATTGGTGGCGTTCCAATTGTTTTTTTTTTACATTAAATCGGCGTGTTGATTTGTCTTTAATTGTTTAATTAAGATTGTTATTCGTTGTTTAAAATTGAAACATAATCACAAATCAATATTTGGAGGATTTTAGATTTTTCATTCTTTATATATTTAAATAATGTTTATTGGTTTTATTTTAGCAATTTTATTTAAAATTTATTATTTTTGCATATCTATTTTGTTGGACATTTAGGTAAAAAAAAATTGTTGTGTTTTTTTATTATTATTATTTGTATTATGATAAGTAATGTTTTCATTTTATTTTTATTATTTCAATGTTAAAAAAAATACTCTCCTTTATTAGATAATTGAGAAATAAGAAACAATCTACTTTATATTTTTTCTAATTTATTATTTATCAAAAATATTATGTGAAGAAAATAATACTATACTCCATAATTACTTAATAAATTTGTCATTTTCTAGTGTTTACAGAGAAACACATCTTGCAAATTGTCGAGGAAATTATACTTTGCTTCCTTTATATTTGGTCATTTTTTATTTTGATCCTTGAATTTTTTTTTTCACTTTGACTTTTCATGTTTATTGGTCATTATTAAGTGGTTGTTAATATGTCATTTTTTGTCTAATTTTGGATGTAAGTTAGCCTTTGAAGTAAATTAAGAAAAATTTAAAATAAAAAAGACCAAAAATGAAAAAAATAAATAAAACCAAAAAAATAAAAAATAAAAAAAATCAAACATAAAGGCGCAACCTTACAATGTACCCTCTTGAAAAAGGAGTTATTACATGTCTCAGTGAAGTCAAGGAAAAAAAAGCACAAATTGATTGAAACGTTTACAAATTTAATTATTGGTATATATAAATTTTTTTTATTGATTTGATATATTTTTTTTTTTTTATGAAAAGTTAACTGTTATGCTATTTTTCCTTTAAAAAAAAAGATGTTTTTGTCTATGGCCAATAAAGATGGCTACGCGGAACCTCGACAAAGTTGTTTGGCATTTACAATAATGTGTAGCATTATTGGAGAAGATACGATTTACTGACAAACTAAATCAAGCTTCCTAACAAACTCCAATCCAATTTATATTTAGGACAAATCACAACCACCACCCCACCCCCCCAGTTTGATGAAAATATAGATTTTTTTTTTTGAGGTTTAAAAAATTATAAATTGAGATTTTTTTTTTGAGGTTTAAAAAATTATAAATTGTCTCCTGAGGATCAAATTTTCATAATAAATTAAGAGAAATTAGGGAGAAATTTGTATAAAAATAAAAAATTCAAGGGACAATTTGTTATAGAAATATAAACTCAGGGAGTGAGATGTAATTTCTCAAACTTTAGGAGGAAATTTGTATTTTCACTAAACCTCGAGGGGAGTGTTTATAATTTGCCCTTATTATTATTATTATTATTATTATTATTATTATCATCAAGGAGTCCAATTTATATGGCTACATGTTCACTCTGAATTGATTTTGATGGTCTAAGCAGTTGAACTTATCAAGTTTGTCAAAAAATTATTCATATAAAAAATTAACTTGATTGAATTATATATATTTTTTTAAATGAACAAAAATATTACAATATTTACTCCTTACATGGGGCACATTGTATATATATATATAATTTTTATAGTGAAAGTTATGAGTAACAAAATTATATTTTTATGATAAGTAAAAAGTTATTTTATAATTAGCAAAGCCTTTTTTTTTATGATACGTAAAAAGTTATTTTATAATTAGCAAAGCCGTATTTTTTTGTAATATAAATTATAGATTTTCTAGTAGAAGTTATATATCTTTTTGTGTGAAGGCTATATTTTTTTAAGGATGCACGTAGGTATAATTTTTTTTTTTAAAAAGGATAAATTGCAAATATATTATATGAGATTTGCTTAAAATACGAATTATTCCTATAATTTTAGAAATTATATCCCATCCATTGAAATTTCTAATTTCATAATAAATAGTCCATTTTTATTAATAAATTATCAAATTAATGAACAATTTTTAATAACGTCAGAAATTTATTTTAATTAATAATTCAGGTAATTTTATTATTGTATAGGGAGAACAATTAGAAATTTTATTTTCTCAATTAATTTTGTTAAATAAAAAATTCTAATTAGGAGGCATTTGTAATTTTTTGAACCATAAAAAATAAGGTTAATTACACTTTGTCCCTTTTAAGTTTGGCCACTTTCCCACTTTGGCGCTTAATATTTGTTTTTTCTCATTTTGACATTTTATGTTTCAAATTTTTTTTAATTTACACGTAAAGTTAATTTTTGTTAAAAATTAAACAAAAAATGACACATTGACAATTACGTGACATAAAAATATTTTATTTTATATAACACACATCTCTTACATAAACTTAAACCCTAATATAATAATATATTTTTATGTTATGTGATAATTATTATGACATTATCTTTCTAATTTTGAATAGAAGTTTGCTTTATGAGTAAATTAAAAAAGCAAAAAAAAAAAAAAATGAAACATAAATGGCCAAAGTAGAAAAAAAAAACAAATTTCAAGAGTTAAAGTGAAAAAATAACTAAACATAAAGGAGGCAAAATATAATTTATTCAAAAAATAATTTGTATTTTAAATAAATTTCAAAGGTCCGTTCATAACTTACTCTTAATTTTTTTTTATAGGGTTTGGCTTCCCTCCAGTCCCAGATAGGACTGGAGAGTACTATTGGGCCGTGGAGGTCAACCATGGGTCCCGTTTCGATAATTCAAACCGTTTAATATGTAGAACTCGTTGAGTACTATATGTGCATAAAAAATTATGTTGATCGGATATCAAATAGATATGCGATCAAATCAATTTTGGATAAAAAAAATGAACGGTGAAAAAATAAATTGTTGACAGAAATCTTATTCGATGAAATAACTATCGATATCTGATCAACGTAATTTTTTATAGGCATATAATACTCAACGAATACTACATATTGAACGGTTCGAATTATCAAAAAGAAACCTGCAATGAGCCCGCACGAGTCCAACAGTACCCTCTAATCCAATTTGAAATTGGAGGGAAGCCCGTCTCTTTTTTTACAATCAAGACACGAGATCACACCTCTGCAACTAATCAAGTCAGAGCAGATAACACCTCAGCTGCACTCACATCAAGGGCTACAGAGGAATAAGTGACCCCACTTGTAATAATACAGCTATGTCAGTTTGAGAGTTAGGTACACCTGCTATGGATAAATAAAGGTTGTTATAGATCGGATAAATAAAGGTTGTTATTTTGTGTTAAATCCTTAATTTTTTTATTTAAAAAACTGTGAGGATGAGGAGTTGGTAGTATAGTTACGAGTAGCAATAGTAGAAATATTTTGTATTTTTTGAATCTCTCTCAGTACATTTCATCTTTTTATATCTTTAATTTCATGTTAATTAATAAAATTTTTCTTTATTGATAAAAAAAAAATAAAGAAAGTTTCGTTTGGTTTGTAGGGACCAACATTCGACCCCTATAAATGAACACCATGACACACTCCTCTTTCCCATCTCTCAAACCCTCCTCTCCTCGGATTCTCAAACCTCACCACTGTGACCCACCCAAACAACGAGGTGTCTCCTCTCCATTTTCATTACTATGTCTTCGTTTTTTTGAGAAATTCTATAGTATATACCTCTCAAAAATTATATATCAATGTATTCTGTTATGTATCTATATATTTTGTTATATATTTTTATAATAAATATTACGTATTATTTTTTATAGAGTTATGATAATTTATAATTTAAAAATAAAAATACCCATCTTATAGTAATGTTGCTTCATCCAAATACTTCCTAACAAAAAAATGTATAATATTATTAAAAAAATTCTTGATTTCATTTCTGAGTTACAAATTATCGTAACTTTATATAAATAAATAATAAAAAACATAATCTTTCACAAAAATATGTATTCAGAGTCGATATGGTATACAGTTTTTGAAAGGTGTGTGCTAGACATTATCCAATGTTTTTGTGTTAGCTAATCTGCAAATGTGAATCACAGATCATCATGGAAGGGACTGTGTCAGTGCTATCGAATGTGAGCAAGGTGGAGCTGTTGTCGAAGTGCTTTGATCTCATTACCATCCCTGTGGAACCCTTGCCTCCGGTTGTGGCTTCCAACGGAGGTCAGATCGGTTATGAGCATCGGCGTAGCTACATTATAATTGGAATTTATTCAATATTTTAACTAATAATGATTTGTATTCTCAAGGAATAAATTAAAAAATTAAGTGATATTTTTTAGTTTATTCAAATTGACTTCACTAAATTTTTTAGTTAAAGAGATGTACTAGGGTTTCATAACATGAAAAAGTATTTAAATTTTTTTTTTAAATGTGTTTCTTACTGAAAATTTATTTCCAAGTTAAAACTAAAATGAAAGATATTTTAGCTTTTTGTATTTTTTAATTTTTTAAAAGTAAGTTGATACTCATAGAATTAATGTATTGAGTACTAATTAATCCGACTAGTTGCTGGCGGAGAGACGAAGAAGATGAAGGAGAAGGATATTGTTCTGGGGAAGAACGTGCACACAACAAGCCTCACCATCACGGAGCCTGATGTGGACGATGACTCCACCAGCGATATGGAGGCCTTCATGGCCGGTGTCTTGGTTAGGTATCGCAAAACTCTCATTGAGAAGACCAAGTATCATTTAGGTAAGCAATCAATTGGTTTCTTTTTCTTTATTTATTTATTTATTTGCTGTTTTCTCTTTTCATAATGCTGTAATCTGTTTGGTTGTCGAGAAACTAGAGGCAAACTTCAGAAATAGGTATAGGAAAAAGATATGATATTTTCAGTAATAGTTACCTTACCTGAGCCAGAGTTGGCTAAAATGTCATAATAGGGACAATTCAATCCATATTTGCGTTAATTTTTATTTATTTATTTTTAGCAAAGCCGTATTTTTTTGTAATATAAATTATAGATTTTCTAGTAGAAGTTATATATCTTTTTGTGTGAAGGCTATATTTTTTTAAGGATGCACGTAGGTATAATTTTTTTTTTTAAAAAGGATAAATTGCAAATATATTATATGAGATTTGCTTAAAATACGAATTATTCCTATAATTTTAGAAATTATATCCCATCCATTGAAATTTCTAATTTCATAATAAATAGTCCATTTTTATTAATAAATTATCAAATTAATGAACAATTTTTAATAACGTCAGAAATTTATTTTAATTAATAATTCAGGTAATTTTATTATTGTATAGGGAGAACAATTAGAAATTTTATTTTCTCAATTAATTTTGTTAAATAAAAAATTCTAATTAGGAGGCATTTGTAATTTTTTGAACCATAAAAAATAAGGTTAATTACACTTTGTCCCTTTTATGTTTGGCCACTTTCCCACTTTGGTGCTTAATATTTGTTTTTTCTCACTTTGATCTTTTATGTTTCAAATTTTTTTCAATTTACACATAAAGTTAATTTCTGTTAAAAATTAAACAAAAAATGACACATTAACAATTACGTGACATAAAAATATTTTACTTTATATAACACACATCTCTTACATAAACTTAAACCCTAATATAATAATATATTTTTATGTTATGTGATAATTATTATGACATTGTCTTTCTAATTTTGAATAGAAGTTTGCTTTATGAGTAAATTAAAAAAGCAAAAAAAAAAATGAAACATAAATGGCCAAAGTAGAAAAAAAAACAAATTTCAAGAGTTAAAGTGAAAAAATAACTAAACATAAAGGAGGCAAAATATAATTTATTCAAAAAATAATTTGTATTTTAAATAAATTTCAAAGGTCCGTTCATAACTTACTCTTAATTTTTTTTTATAGGGTTTGGCTTCCCTCCAGTCCCAGATCGGACTAGAGAGTACTATTGGGCCGTGGAGGTCAATCATGGGTCCCGTTTCGATAATCCAAACCGTTCAATGTGTAGAACTCGTTGAGTACTATATGTGCATAAAAAATCACGTTGATCGAATATCAATAGATATGTGATCAAATCAATTTTGGATAAAAAAAATGAACGGTGAAAAAATAAATTGTTGACAGAAATCTTATTCGATGAAATAACTATCGATATCCGATCAACGTGAATTTTTTATAGGTATATAATAATCAACGAATGCTACATATTGAACGGTTCGAATTATCAAAAAGAAATCTGCAATGAACCCGCACGAGTCCAACAGTGCCCTCTAATCCAATTTGAAATCGGAGGGAAGCCCGTCTCTTTTTTATACATTCAAGACACGAGATCACACCTCTGCAACTAATCAACTCACAGCAGATAACACCTCAGCTGCACTCACATCAAGGGCTACAGAGGAATGAGTGACCCCACTTGCAATAATACAGCTATGTCAGTTTGAGAGTTAGGTACACCTGCTATGGATAAATAAAGGTTGTTATAAAAAAAAAAAAAGGACAAATTACATATAGTCTTTGAGGTTTGACTAAATTACAGATATCCTCTGAGGTTTTGAAAATTACATCCCGCCCCTGAGGTTTGTATTTTCATAACAATTTGTCCACTAAGGTTTATATTTCATAACAAATTATCCCTTAATTTCTTATGCAAATATAATATTCAGGGGAGAATTCGTAATTTCTCAAACCTCAGAGAGTATCTGTAATTTAGCCAAATCTCGAGGGGTATATGTAATTTGTCCTAAAAAAAAAGAAGGAAGTTTCGTTTGATTTGTAGGGACCAACATTCGACCCCTATAAATGAACACCATGACACACTCGTCTTTCCCATCTCTCAAACCCTCTTCTCCTCGGATTCTCAAACCTTACCACTGTGACCCACCGAGTCCATCAAACAACGAGGTGTCTCCTCTCCATTTTCATTACTATGTCTTCGTTTTTTCGAGAAATTCTATAGTATATACCTCTCAAAAATTATATATCAATGCATTCTGTTATGTATCTATATATTTTGTTATATATTTTTATAATAAATGTTACGTATTATTTTTTATAGAGTGATGATAATTTATAATTTAAAAATAAAAATTAAAATACGCATCTTATAGTAATGTTACTTTATCCAAATATTTCCTAACAAAAAAATGTATAATATTATTAAAAAAATGCTTGATTTTATTTATGAGTTACAAATTACCGTAACTTTATATAAATAAATAATAAAAAACATAATCTTTCACAAAAATATATATTCAGAGTCGATATGGTATACAGTTTTCGAAAGGTGTGTGCTAGACATTATCCAATGTTTTTGTGTTAGCTAATCCGCAAATGTGAATCACAGATCATCATGGAAGGGACTGTGTCAGTGCTATCGAATGTGAGCAAGGTGGAGCTGTTGTCGAAGTGCTTTGATCTGATTACCATCCCTGTGGAACCCTTGCCTCCGGTTGTGGCTTCCAACGGAGGTGAGATCGGTTATGAGCATCCGCGTAGCTACATTATAATTGGAATTTATTCAATATTTTAACTAATAATGATTTGTATTCTCAAGGAATAAATTAAAAAATTAAGTGATATTTTTTAGTTTATTCAAATTGACTTCACTAAATTTTTTAGTTAAAGAGATGTACTAGGGTTTCATAACATGAAAAAGTATTTAAATTTTTTTTTTAAATGTGTTTCTTACTGAAAATTTATTTCCAAGTTAAAACTAAAATGAAAGATATTTTAGCTTTTTGTATTTTTTAATTTTTTAAAAGTAAGTTGATACTCATAGAATTAATGTATTGAGTACTAATTAATCCGACTAGTTGCTGGCGGAGAGACGAAGAATATGAAGGAGAGGGATATTGTTCTGGGGAAGAACGTGCACACAACAAGCCTCACCATCACGGAGCCTGATGTGGACGATGACTCCACCAGCGATATGGAGGCCTTCATGGCCGGTGTCTTGGTTAGGTATCGCAAAACTCTCATTGAGAAGACCAAGTATCATTTAGGTAAGCAATCAATTGGTTTCTTTTTCTTTATTTATTTATTTATTTGCTGTTTTCTCTTTTCATAATGCTGTAATCTGTTTGGTTGTCGAGAAACTAGAGGCAAACTTCAGAAATAGGTATAGGAAAAAGATATGATATTTTCAGTAATAGTTACCTTACCTGAGCCAGAGTTGGCTAAAATGTCATAATAGGGACAATTCAATCCATATTTGCGTTAATTTTTATTTATTTATTTATTTTGCTGGAGTATGTTCTAGACAGTTTGAACAGACCACTTCTATTATTTTTTAGGTTTTTTTTTTTGTAATTTTACATTTAATTTTTTAGACTATTTGATGAATGAGGGAAACCGTTTATATGCGAAAAACCTTTTAGCAGTTAATTGGATGTGAAGTGCATTATTGGAAAAAACAAAAAATGTGACAATACCAAATAGAATGTAAACTTTATGCAATAGAATAGATTATACCAAAAGACTGGATTTTATTTTAATTACTACATTTTATGAGACACATGTTCATAAACTCCTTTATTAGAGTAAAATAACCGTGATATATAGAGTTGCTTTAGTCACTATATAAGGCTTCCACATATTAACTTGGTCTTGTCTAATATTAGTTCTGCTTTTAAGATACATTTGTTGTTCAAATACCTGTATAAGTTTCTTAGAAGTTACACATTGTGTAGTTCATGGCCTTGTAGGTATGTACAACTGGTCGGTACTAAAACTTCTGGAGACCTTTCTCAATTCTCACCTAAAATATATTGGTTTCTTATTTATTTTTGTTGCTAAATGTTGTTGCAGGCTATCCATTTAATCTGGACTTGGATTATGGTCCTCTAGCGGAATTGCAGCATTTCGCCATAAACAACCTTGGCGATCCATTTATTGAAAGCAACTATGGTGTTCATTCAAGACAATTTGAAGTGGGTGTTTTGGATTGGTTTGCCCGTCTATGGGAAATAGAGCAGAAAGAATACTGGGGATACATTACAAATGGTGGCACAGAAGGCAATCTTCATGGAATCCTGATTGGGTTAGTATATTCTAGCTTTGTTTCTCATTTTTGGAGATATGTCTGTCTGTTTAAGAATTGTTACAAGATATGCATAATTTGATTGTGCAGAAGAGAAGTGTTTCCAGATGGAATTTTTTATACGTCGCGAGAATCACATTACTCTATCTTCAAAGCAGCACGGATGTACAGAATGGAATGCGTTAAGGTCGGCACTTTAATCAATGGGGAGATTGATTGTGCAGATTTCAAAGCAAAGCTACTTTCTAACAAGGACAAACCAGCCATAATTAATTTGAACATAGGTATCTGCTCTCTCTCTCTCTCTCTCTGTCTACTCGAAGCCATGCATGTATATGGTTGTAGAAGCCCACATCTATACCATTAATATCTCCATAAATTGGTTCACATCTTGTTGTATTGCAGGTACTACTGTCAAAGGAGCGGTTGATGATATTGATCTTGTTATACAAACCCTTGAAGAATGTGGATTCTCGCATGATCGATTCTACATCCACTGTGATGGGGCTCTGTTTGGATTCATGATGCCATTTCTCAACCGTGTGAGTTATTTGCTTGTCTCCACTTCTCATGTCCTGTTTGGGCCTATGAATTTTTGAATTTTCAAGGAGATCTATCAGGAATCTCTAGGCACATATCTTCTACAGGTTATAATATATTGTCTACAACAAATCACAATGTGTCACATTACACAATAGAGTAGAAGAGTTTCTATTCATATTTTCTGTAGTCATTACCAAGAAAAATTAAGGAATGCCCAAGTTTATTCCACACTATAAAATCTTACTAAGGTGTTAGACATGGTGATTTAGAAGGCTGGTGAACCCAATTGCAGGAACTTCACTGAGAACCCTCTTGGTAATTTCATCTTGACCATTATTTGTTTCTTCCTAGCTTGCCAGACCATTGAATTAGTTTTACAAAAAAAAAAAAATGGTTATGGTCCTAATTCATGGCCTGCTAATCGAGGATGGGAATATGTGCTTCATTAGATGTCTCTTCAAATAGTTTTAATCTCCCAACTCTCCCTTTCTTGAGTCTTCTTGTTTTCAATCTAATTCGAGCTGCTTACACTTTGTTGATGGACTGATGGACAGGGACCGAAAATAACCTTCAAGAAGCCCATTGGAAGTGTGAGTGTTTCTGGCCACAAGTTTATGGGATGTCCAACGCCGTGCGGTGTCCAGATAACAAGGCTTGAGCACATTAATGCCTTATCAAGGAATGTCGAATACCTTGCTTCAAGGGATGCCACAATCACAGGAAGCCGGAACGGCCACTCTCCAATCATTCTGTGGTACGCGCTGAACAGAAAAGGTTTCAAGGGGTTCCAGAAAGAAGTCCAAAAGTGCCTCAGAAATGCTCACTATTTGAAAGACCGCCTTAGGGAAGCAGGTATTAGTGCCATGCTAAATGAGCTTAGTAGCACGGTTGTGTTTGAGCGACCTCTAGATGAGGAGTTTGTTCGGCGTTGGCAACTTGCATGCGAGGGAAATATGGCACATGTTATTGTGATGCCTAATGTCACCATTGAGAAGCTGGATGAATTCTTGAATGAATTAGTTCAAAAGCGCGCGAATTGGTACAACGATGGGAAAGCTGGACCTCCTTGTCTTGCACCAGATATAGGAAGTGAGAATTGTGATTGTGATCTTCATAAATGATATCTATAAGGGGGCGTTTGTTTAATGGGAAATAAATAGTGCAGGAACTATTTTTCTCAGGATTAACAGTCCATTGCATTACAATCCCTCTTATATAATCTCCCCTTAGGATTTACTGCAACTGCTATCTGTTGGTTCTACTATCGTTTGTGTGTGCCAAAACAATAAAGTTCACCAGTGATATCTTCAATTTGATATGTATTTTTCTTGTTATGCAAAATTTAATTATCTTCTGCAATTTGTGGAGTGTTATCAATGAATTTCTTCTTTACAACAGATGAAAATCTTACTAATGTTCTTCAAAAAAAAAAAAAAACATCTGATAAAATTTAGTAAATTACGAGTTTAAATTTCTGGCATTCAAAGATTGGTGCTAACGCCAGCCCAAATATTTCTAGCTCTAACACCCAACGTTTGAAGAAAGGTAAGAGGAAATGGAGTAAAAGAGAAGGGCTCAAGTACTATTTGCTAGCTGGGAAATTCTCTGGCTTTGCTAGAAGACTAGTGTAATCGGGTGCAACCTCAAATAAGGGACTTGTCAATAGCTTCAAATCTGGATCCACAACCGCAGCTTTACCTGTTTCAACTCTTAGTCCGAATTTACAACAATCTCCTAACCGTGGTCTTGTTCAAGAGGCTCAATCCACTTTGCAAATGGGGCAAAGACTGGGTTTAGAATTCCAGGGCCACGAGTCCGAGGTGATTAGAGAACTAGTACAAATGGAGGAAAGGGACATGGAGCGACTGGAAAGAGGAAAGGGTAAAGTGGAATAATCCACAATCACTGGGTGTTATCAGAGTCAATTTATTTCTCATATGAAGACATTAAGTTAGAATATCAGAGGGCTAGGAAGACATTATAAGAGGAGTAAAATCAAAAAGCTGTTATTTGATAAGAAGATTGACATGGCTTTGATCCAAGAAACAAAAAAACCAAGTCTAACCAATCAGATGGTGAAAAGTGTTTGGCCAAGAGATAGGCTTGAGTTTATGCATGTGGATGCTGAAGGCTTTGCTGGTGGACTGCTTTGCATGTGGGACCCGGACATATTTCAACTCTCGGACTGCTGTTGCAACAGGAACTTCATTCTCCTATCTGGTAAGCTTCTCAACTCCTTTAATTGTGCTATTGTCAATATCCATGCCCCTACTGACATCATAAGGAGAAGGAAATTTTGGGAATCTCTGCTATGGTTGAAAGCTCATTTCCCTATGCCATGGTGTATCGGTGGTGACTTCAATGAGATTAGAAATTTAGGGAAAAGAGTAGGTGTCTCATTTAGGGATAGGGGTATGAGTGACTTCAACAATTTTATTGATAAATGTGAGGTAGTTGATCTTCCTTTGCTAGGCAGAAAGTACACTTGGTGTAATGCAACTGATGGCCACAAATGGAGCCGAATTGATAGGTTTCTGCTCAGCCCTGAATGGTTAGAAAAGTTTAAATTCAGCCAGTGGGGTCTTGCTAGGGTCTCCTCTGATCACTGCCCTATTGTACTTATAGAGGTACTAGAGATTGGGGGCCCAAACCATTTAAGTTCTTAAATGCCTGGATGTTGCATTTGAACTTTGCATCCTTTGTGGAACATACTTGGAGTCACTCACAGTTCTTAGGTCCTGCCGGCTTTATTCTTCAGCATAAGTTGTACGCCCTCAAGTTGGCTCTAAAAATATGGAGTAAAGATGTGTATGGTGATGTCTCATCTAAGCTGCATCTTCTTGAAAATGAACTTCATCAATTGGACTTAAAAGCTGAGATTATGCCATTGGTTGAGGATGACCTGAAGCAGCAAAGAGAGAAAAAGAATGAGATGTGGAAATTAAGCAAGGAGCTAGAATGGGAATGGTTACAAAAATCTAGGCAGGATTGGAATATGAAAGGTGATAAAAATACAAGATTTTTCCATGTTATGGCTACTTGTAGACAAAATCGAAATTCTCTCAATTCCATCACAGTGGGAGATGTAGTCATCGAGGCACCAGACCTAGTTAAAAATGAAGTCTGCTCATATTTCTCTAATCAGTTCTCCGAGGCTTGGAAGCATAGGCCAGTTCTTGTTGGTGATTTCAAGAGTGTACGGCTCAGTGACCACTTCCCTTTGCTTGAGGCAGAGTTCTCGGAAGAAGAAGTCTGGGCAGCTGTAGCTGATTGTAATGGAAACAAAGCTCCTGGGCCGGATGGCTTTAACCTGCTGTTTTTTCAAAAGTTTTGGAAGATGCTTAAGGGGGAGGTGCTTAATTTTATGAAGGATTTTCACACCAGTGGCAGATTACCAAATTGTTTCAACAGTACATTCATCACACTGATTCCAAAGAAAGATAAAGCTGTCACTTTAAATAAGTTTAGGCCTATAAGCCTTGTTGGTTCTGTGTACAAAATTCTCTCTAAAGTTCTTGCATCCAGGCTCAAAAAAGTTATGCCTGGGATCATTGGTGACTCACAATCAGCTTTTCTAGGAGGCAGGAACATTTTGGATGGAGTTTTGGTTTCTAATGAAGTTGTAGATAGTTGGCTCAAATCCAGGAAATCTAGGCTGCTGTTTAAGCTGGATTTCGAAAAGGCCTTCGACTCGGTCAATTGGGATTTTCTTTTCTCAATGTTATCAAACTTTGGGTTTGGTCCCAAATGGAATTCCTGGATCAAGGAATGTGTTTCTACTTCTAGAATTTCAATCCTCGTAAACGGCTCTCCAACTAAGGAATTCAATCCTCAGAAAGGTCTTAGACAAGGAGTCTTCTTCAAGAGGCTCAATCCACTTTGCAATTGGGGCAAAAATTGGGTTTAGAACTCCAGGGCCAAGAATCCGAGGTGATTAGAGAACTAATACAAATGGAGGAAAGGGACAAGGAGCGACTGGAAAGAGGGAAGGGCAAAGTGGAATAATCCACAATCACTGGGTGTTATCAGAGTCAATTTATTTCTCATATGAAGACATTAAGTTAGAATATCAGAGGGCTAGGAAGACATTATAAGAGGAGTAAAATCAAAAAGCTGTTATTTGATAAGAAGATTGACATGGCTTTGATCCAAGAAACAAAAAAACCAAGTCTGACCAATCAGATGGTGAAAAGTGTTTGGCCAAGAGACAGGCTTGAGTTTATGCATGTGGATGCTGAAGGCTTTGCTGGTGGACTGCTTTGCATGTGGGACCCGGACATATTTCAACTTTCGGACTGCTGTTGCAACAGGAACTTCATTCTCCTATCTGGTAAGCTTCTCAACTCCTTTAATTGTGCTATTGTCAATATCTATGCCCCTACTGACATCATAAGGAGAAGGAAATTTTGGGAATCTCTGCTAAGGTTGAAAGCTCATTTCCCCATGCCATGGTGTATCGGTGGTGACTTTAATGAGATCACAAATTTAGGGGAAAGGGTAGGCGTCTCACTCAGGGATAGAGGTATGAGGGACTTCAACAATTTTATTGATAAATGTGAGGTAGTTGATCTTCCTTTGCTAGGCAGAAAGTACACTTGGTGTAATGCAACTGATGGCCACAAATGGAGCCGAATTGATAGGTTTCTGCTCAGCCCTGAATGGTTAGAAAAGTTTAAATTCAGCCAGTGGGGTCTTGCTAGGGTCTCCTCTGATCACTGCCCTATTGTACTTATAGAGGATACTAGAGATTGGGGGCCCAAACCATTTAAGTTCTTAAATGCGTGGATGTTGCATTTGAACTTTGCATCCTTTGTGGAACATACTTGGAGTCACTCACAGTTCTTAGGTCCTGCCGGCTTTATTCTTTAGCGTAAGTTGTATGCCCTCAAGTTGGCTCTAAAAATATGGAGTAAAGATGTGTATGGTGATGTCTCATCTAAGCTGCATCTTCTTGAAAATGAACTTCATCAATTGGACTTAAAAGCTGAGATTATGCCTTTGGTTGAGGATGACCTGAAGCAGCAAAGAGAGAAAAAGAATGAGATGCGGAAATTAAGCAAGGAGCTAGAATGGGAATGGCTACAAAAATCTAGGCAGGATTGGAATATGAAAGGTGATAAAAATACAAGATTTTTCCATGTTATGGCTACTTATAGACAAAATCGAAATTCTCTCAATTCCATCACAGTGGGAGATGTAGTCATCGAGGCACCAGACCTAGTTAAAAATGAAGTGTGCTCATATTTCTCTAATCATTTCTCCGAGGCTTGGAAGCATAGGCCAGTTCTTGTTGGTGATTTCAAGAGTGTACGGCTCAGTGACCACTTCCCTTTGCTTGAGGCAGAGTTCTCGGAAGAAGAAGTCTGGGCAGCTGTAGCTGATTGTAATGGAAACAAAGCTCCTGGGCCGAATGGCTTTGACCTGCTGTTTTTTCAAAAGTTTTGGAAGATGCTTAAGGGGGAGGTGCTTAATTTTATGAAGGATTTTCACACCAGTGGCAGATTACCAAATTGCTTCAACAGTACATTCATCACACTAATTCCAAAGAAAGATAAAGCTGTCACCTTAAATGAGTTTAGGCCTATAAGCCTTGTTGGTTCTGTGTACAAAATTCTCTCTAAAGTTTTTGCATCCAGGCTCAAAAAAGTTATGCCTGGGATCATTGGTGACTCACAATCAGCTTTTCTAGGAGGCAGGAACATTTTGGATGGAGTTTTGGATTCTAATGAAGTTGTAGATAGTTGGCTCAAATCCAGGAAATCTAGGCTGCTGTTTAAGCTGGATTTCGAAAAGGCCTTCGACTCGGTCAATTGGGCTTTCCTTTTCTCAATGTTATCAAACTTTGGGTTTGGCCCCAAATGGAATTCCTGGATCAAGGAATGTGTTTCTACTTCTAGAATTTCAATCCTCGTAAACGGCTCTCCAACTAAGGAATTTAATCCTCAGAAAGGTCTTAGACAAGGAAATCCTTTATCCCATTTCCTCTTTAATATGGTTGTTGAAGCTCTTAACATCCTCCTCCTCCGAGCTCGGGAGTTGAATTTGCTCAAAGGGGTCGTCATTGGAAATAATCAAGTTCAGTTGTCTCATCTCCAATTTGCAGATGATTCTCTTCTGTTCTGTGAAGTGGAGTTATCGGAAGTTCTCACTTTGAAAAGGATCTTAAAGTGCTTTGAAGTAGTGTCAGGTCTCAAAATCAACTATCATAAGAGCGTGCTTTGCGGGGTTGGTATTCCTGGCAATACTCTAGAGGAGTTTGCATCTCTGTTGAATTGAAAGACTCAAAGTTTACCACTCAAGTATCTTGGATTGCCACTGGGAGCTAATCCCAAAAGAAAAAGGATGTGGAAACCAATAGTAGATAAATTCAAATTGAGGCTTGCCGGGTGGAAAAGGA